CCCAACGTGGCAATTGAGTCTAACTGAAAACCCAAGTTCGAAGTGTGACCCGCTCAGTCTTCCCACTCGGGTACTGGGTGTGATCCCCTTCAGTGGGGCGCCGACGTCATGCCGGAATTCATTGTTTCTCCACTTTCATAACTGATTCCACGGTTTCTTCATTTTATCCCTGAATTTCCTGATTTTCAAGCCGCCGGGCTATAAGCGATGCAATTTCCACCATTGATTTCTGAACTTTTTTCCGCTTGTGTGTTGCTCTCTCCATCAATTTTAACCGCAGCCATTTGACAGATTTCAGATTTCACAGTTTTCACACCACAGCTCTCAGAATGCCACCGCTGCGGCTGAAACCTTGGTCAACCTCTACGCCCAAAAAGGGCATGACCTGCATGCGTGCAGGCGGTTTTTGAGGAAAAGATCCGCGTTTCCACCGTTCACTCCGTGCGCCGATTACGGCCTGTTGTGTGTGTCACACCCTGGTTCTACGGGCTTTCCACCTTTTCACCTTTCCACTACCACGGAGACCATTCCAATTTTCCACTGCTGCGAATTCAACAAAGGCAGGGGGGCCAGGCCTGTCACATCCAACCTGGTCCAACGAAGCTGGGATGTGACAGGGGAAGCACCAAAGGACGCTTTGGTGTGTACCTGCCGATTTATCCACACGCTGTGACTCCACTTTCCACGTTTTTGGTTCATGGTTCTTCATGATACCTCCCACAAACCCTCTCCCCACCGCCGCTTTGCAGCCGACTTTGAGTGTCAGATCGTTTTCGAGTGCAGCTGCCAACATTGTTCAACAATACGGTTTTTGCGGACTCATGCACCTTTCCGTTCCCTCACCTTCCTTCCCAACGTGGCAATTGAGTTTAACTGACAACCCAAGTTCGAAGTGTAACCTTTGGAGTCACAAGGTTCCTGTTGGAGTGTGTTTCTTTGCGGTTTTGCGTTTGAAGCAGGGGACAACCCCATGGATGCAGTTGGTTGTCCAACGAAAAGGGCTGCGTTCCATGGCTGATATGATCCTGGGACGGTGGGATCACGTACCTGCTTGGTTGTGATGTTTACCAGCTGTTACCCTCATCTTCTTGGCAGTCACGCATAGGGCTTTGCTTCTGCTTTTTGCACGGATTCGTCGTCCCTGTCGGTCGTTTGAACCTGCTGCGCTTTCTTGAGTTTTGGCGCTTGGCCACCTGACGACTATAGAAATGATCAGGCCTCACCTTACCTGACCTTGCAGGAACTTGGAACCCTAGGTTGCCGTGTGGCGAGTGGCATTTGAGTCAGTACGCATTTCAATGAGTGTGTCTCTCCTCGAGAGAGCCCAGGGTGACCCCACAGAGTGGCCCCTGTGGACACGTTGAACAGGGGCCTGTCCATGTTAACCAGCTTTGGGAACATAGGTGTCCGGAGCGGACAGAAGGAGGCTTATGCCAAAGTTATTTGCCAAGACTTGCTGAACTATTGAACTCCAAGGTGGCTTTATGCCTGTACGTGACCGCAGCGGTCTAAGCAGCCAGCCATTTTGGCACGGCATACGTGGCCGCAGCGGCCGAAGCTTGTTCAAGGTTCATTGGAACCTGTCGCCACCTCAGGTGCGCGCACAGCATGTACATTTTCAACGAGGTCTGCATAGGTTTTCCAAGGAGGTTTGGGTTCATTGGTTTTCGTCCCCCCCTTTTTTGGTTTCCCTTTTCATCCTTTCCCCTTCACACACTTTTGTTTTCCTCTTTTCTTTCATGTCCTCCAGTCTTTATGTTTTGTTATCTCATCCTTTCTTTCGTTTGCGCGCACATCGGTCCTGGCCTTAGTGTGTACGTGCACATCTACTTACATTTTAAACACAGGTTTCAGGTTGCCCAGGTCTTGACAACGAGGTGGGGTTCATCGGTTGTCGGTGTGCACTTGTTTCATATCAACCACCTACACCTTTGTCCCGTCCCGTCCTCCTTTTCATGTCTTCATCCTTTTGTGTTTGCTGCGCGCGCACTTACACTACCGTCCCAGCCTTTAATTCTCTTTGCCTTCCCTCGGCAGGGCGTGTGTGTAACCTTTGGGGTCACAAGGTTCCTGTTGGAGTGTGTTTTTTTGCGGTTTTGCATTTGAAGCAGGGGGACAACCCCTTGGATGCAGTTGGTTGTCCAACGAAGAGGGCTGCATTCCATGGCTGCTATGATCCTGGGACGGTGGGATCACGTACCTGCTTGGTTGTGATGTTTACAAGCTGTTACCCTCATCTTCTTGGCAGTCACGCGTAGGGCTTTGCTTCTTCTTTTTGCACGGATTCGTCGTCCCTGTCGGTCGTTTGAACCTGCTGCGCTTTCTTGAGTTTTGGCGTTTGGCCACCTGACGACTATAGAAATGATCAGGCCTCACCTTACCTGACCTATCAGGAACTTGGAACCCCAGGTTGCCGTGTGGCGAGCGGCATTTGAATCAGTACACATGTGTATAAGTTGTTTTGCGTGTTTGTTGCTGCTCTGGATCAACCCAGCCACCCCTACAAGAATGGCAAGGCAACGCCAAGGCTGTTGGACAAGAAACTATCGGAAACTATCAGTGCAAACTCAACAAGGAACACATCATGCTTCTTTTGGCGACGGTCCGTGACCACATTCTTAAATTTTTCGAAGCTGATCCGCTGCAGTCTTGTGTTGGCTGGTATGCCTGAAAGTGCACTGCAGCTACAAACAGCAATATGTTCCTAAGGACTCCACGTGAAGTTGGAGGAAGAACTCAGCACTGCCTTGGCCGAAGAAAGAAAAACGCGAGGCAAAGCGTATTTGGCTCAGATTACTTTGGCCTCTCACACAGTGAAATTGAAGTTGAATTGGAACACTGGCCAGCCTTTGGGCCTTTTAGGTGAACTTGTGGCAATGTTTTATTTACTACTTTGTGTAAGGATCTCAGATGTGTGTCAGTACATCGAGCACGTGGTGGCCCTGCAGGACTAGCTTGCACGCTGTAAGCTTGCCCACACCATCCAAAGTTGCAGGAGTCTGATGCCAAAACAGAGAAACGGCGCACCGACAGTGTAGTTGCGGGACTTGAGGATCGTGTGCAGGCATTCGTGATACAACACTTATCAAGATTTAAGTAGTCACCATTTGCCAATGAACACTTGAATTCTTTTTGCCAGGTATTGGAAGATTGTTTTTTCCGGCAACCTGAATCGGCTGACGCGGTGGCAGACTTTGTTTGATAGAGTGACAGAGTGTTTTAAGGCAAATTCATTTACCTAGGACTCGGACTGTTTTTTGAAAGGCAACGGTTTCAGGTGGGCAACATTGGCCAGATGCCCGTGGAGCTGCCAGCACGTGGCATGGTACCAGGCATCGGCTGTAGTGTAGGCCCTGCAGCAAATGTTGTGTAGGCATTATGGCACAACTAACCAGCGCTACGTGTCAGGAGCCGACATCGATTTCCCTTCCGCTCATTCGCAGCCGGGCATGCCCCACAGCCAAGATAGCGGGTGTTTAGTTGTATCACGCACCTTTGGCCTGTTCATTTCGGTTGCGCTGCGTGGTAAGGGCGGCATCACCAGCCCTTCCTGCCAGAACTGATGCTCATTCTGAGTCACTTGGCCCACTTTTTCGTTTGTCCTTTCAATCCTTTTCAATCCATGTCAGGGTTTGCAACAACGTTGTAATTAGTTTGGTGTCATGTGGGTGAATGAGTATGTCGGCGTTGGCCCAGGGGTCAGGCGGAATCAGACTCTGGAGGTGCCTTTACCTTGTTTCTTGGCGGACTGCTGCAGATGAATTGCAAAGAAAGGCTTGCCTGTGAACGCCTCAGCGTTGATTGGAAGCTAAGGTTCTCAGAGGAGATGAGAGACACTTGGCTGAAATTTCTGGCTTTGAGTTGCCGTCGGGGTGGGCTTGCAGCCGCGCAGGAAAGCTTGAAGCATATCGTTCGCAAAGTGGGTGACACCATGTCCAAAGATTCGGACAACAGGGCCGGGCAAGGAAGCCCACCGAATATGCGAGTGGTGGATGCTTGACGAACAATTTTATAGCTGCATGCCGATGGCATGACCTTTTGAAACTCAATTTTGGGAGGAAGAAAATCAAGATTACTAAGGTTGGATCAACAATGAGCCTTGTCACAAAACAGCAGCTGAACAGATGTCAGTCAGGACATGAGCCACGAGTCATGATATGCAAATAATTCTTGCAATGGTATCCTGGCGTACTATCACCTTGAAGAAGTGGTAGGGTATTCACAATTCACTCTAGAAAAAGAGACACATGTTCCCTTTTAAAGCCCTATATATGTTTCTCGTGTCGAGCCTGATGATAGTGTGATTTCACAACCTGCCACTGTCTTCCTCAAGGTGCGTGTGCGGGACCCTTTCTCTTCAAGATTATGATACGTTTGTTTGCGCTACCTGCAAGTTTTTGGTGATGGGGAGGGGGCAAATCTTGTTTCATGCTGGAGATGCTTCGTCAGCCTCAGGCAGCTCAATTGCCGGATTCGGTCGTGGTTCACCTTTGTCTCCATCTACTGTACATACTTCGAGGTTGATCATGCCCCCCCAACCCCCCACATGAAGTATCACCTTCCCAACAGCATATATATATACGTACATGCTGAATGTGGGGGCTGAATCCGCAAGTGATGAAGTAGGCGTGGTGGAGCTGTCTCTGTGGAAAACGGTTTGCTTACTCGGCTGAAAGACGCAAGGAACACAATTTTTGCACGGCCTCACGCGCTATTGCAGAGTCCTTTGAACCCTATGTAACACAGTGGGGGCATAAACATATGTGTTTCGCAGAAGGTCCAAAAGTGAAGAAATCTTGCAGGACAATGGAAATTGGGTCATTGCGACATCTTGCGATGACAGCTCCATTTACCAAGACTAGCCAAGACCCAGTTTCTTAAAGTGCGTTCTGCGTTCTTTTGTGAAGGTCCATCACCACGTGTCATTGATATCTAGGATGCTTTGGGCTGACGACCTGAAATACTGACGTTGAACTTGCAAGCGGGAAAAAAATGAAGGGGTCTTTAAGAAGGGTTCCTTTCAAGGGCACCTATGAAAGGCACCCTGAATGCCTCCCAGACAAAACCCACCCACCCACCCACCCACCCGCCCACCGTATTGGTGGAAATGGTGCCAGAGCTGGGGTATCGAGAGTTGGCCTGGATGTTGGGGTAGAGGTGTTGGAGGATGGTGTTGAGAGCCCGGCTGGTGACCCGGAGAAGGTTGCCTGCCAAGGAGTGGTAATAAAAGATGATGGTACATCCCTTGCGCCACTTTTTCTTCTCTTTGAAATGGACTATGCCGTGTGGAATGGTAAAAGGTTTTGCGGAAGCCCCATTTGGTTGGGGGGACAGTGGCAAGGAGGTGTCCACTGAGGTTGTCCAGTGTGAGGTGGGGCATTGTCCGGACAAGCTCGGGGGATTGCCAAGTGGCAAGAGCTCCGTGGAAGTAATGCTGAGGGCAGAAGATGCGTAGTTGTTGAAGCTCGTGGTCGGCATGGTGGAAGCGTGGTTGGGTTGTGGAGTTGTTGTAAGCGATGGTGCCATTGCTGTTCCAGGTAAGGATCTGCTTGCTGAGTGAGGGAAGGCTGTAGGCCATGTATGCGTGGCCAGCGTTGTAACTAGCGCCTGGTGACGGTGGAAGGTGGAAATAGTATTGTGTTTCGGTGGGGTAGTATGTGCTATTCATGTTGGCATCGAGAAAGATGCGGAGGTGCGTGGGTAGGTTGGGTTGGATAAGGCCAGGATGTAATGTCTGTCCGGCTGTGGATGGTCAACAATGATCGCAGGTGTGCACATGCGCATGGCAGGGTAGTGGTATCCGCTGGCGGAATGATGAGCTCTTCCCATTTAATTTGCGGTGGTTGTGCAATTTGCTGCGCAAGGTGCAGTGAGCAGCTTCGCGTAGTTTGCAGGTAGGAAGGTGGAAAGGCAGGGCATGGGAGATGTGCTGACGGACAAGAGTTTTGAGCCACTGCTGTGCATTGTAGTTGAATTTGAGTGTGGGCAAGAAAGGAAGAGTCAGGGGAGCGTTGTTTTGTGGTGGTGTGAGGTTGCGGTAAAGCATGGCGTTGGTGACAATCTGCAAGGCTTTGGTCCGGCCGGGTTCCTCTAAATTGGATGCCGTGCGGCGGATCGCGTAGGCCCGTATGACGGCCACTGTGGAGTCGCTTGGCTGGTGAGGTTGCGGAGCAAGGTGAGAGCATGGTGTTTGGTAGAGGTGAACAGGTGGGGTTGATGTATGGTGCGCTGGCGCCGCCGCAGTCGCTGGGAAAGTTGACGACGGTTGGTGAATCTGGGGTAGAAGTGCGCTCGATGTTTGGCAAATTGCCAGCTTGGGCTTTGAGCTTGAGGTGGTGAGAGATAAAAGGCCAGTTCAAAGGTGGCATCCATGAAGAGCACATGTGCACGCAAAAAGGGCACATGAAAAGACATGAAGGAGAGACACGAAAAGACGCGAAAAGTATGTGGGGGGCATGAAGAGGAAACCAGATGAACAGGAAGAACCGATGAGCCCGACCTCCTTGTCAAGTGATCATTTGCCAATGTGCAGGCACAGGCTAAGGGCCAAACGAGTGCGCGCAACAAAAAAAAGGAATAAATGACCGGACATGAAGGCGGGAATTGAACAGAATAATGAGAAAAAGAACGTGTGCGAATGCAGATGAGATTCTGAAACGGGGTCCAGGTTGTGTTATTTTACTTATTTTTCAATTGTCAACCTTTCCTCTTTATATAGTTTTTTTTTTTTAATCTTTCCTTGCTTGCTTCCTTCCTTCCTTTCCTTTCCTTTTCTTTCCTTTTTCCTTTCCTTCCTTCCTTCCTTCTTTCCTTTTTTCCTTCCTTTCTTCTTTCCTTCCTTCCTTCCTTCCGTCCGTCCGTCCGTCCGTCCATCCATCCATCCTTCTTTCGCGTTGTGGGGAGTGAGCAAAGAACCCATTGTATACCCACGTGAGGCTGGCGCAAGTCTCGAAGGTGAGGGGCGAGGCTAGAATCACCTGGACCTTTCTCAACCTTCAACTGGCCGGCGGCCGAACATGTCTAAAACATTTGCAAGCCAAGAGCGAACCAGCTGCCAGTTCGTCCCATGAAGGTTACGGAAGTTCGCGCCCGCTGTCGTGTCCAAAGGCACCATGAAAAAAAACCTTGAGGTCTAGGTTCTTGCTCCTACCAAGTATGACAATCGTGTACTCTGCGCCCTGCTGGAGACAAGAAGAACTACAGTATGGCAATGATGCCTTGGGGGAGCACAGCGTGACGGTGAGTGAAATGCAGTAGTAGCAGTCGCTGCTGGCGGTGGAAGTTGGCGTCAATTTCTGCATGTAGCCGCTGGCTGATTAAGGGGCTCGTTCAACAGCCATTGTCATGGTAGCTGCAGGTGTGTCCTGCAAAGACTCCTGCATTGCCGCCGTGGCCACCTATATACGTTTATCTTCATTCATGCAGAGCTGATTCATGCCATTGGTTGGCCCAACAGCCCAGAAACCAAGGCCGCCAGGTGGCCATGTAGAGTGCTGGGCCATGCATAGCTCACGTCAGGCCGAGACTTCTCCTTGTCGGACCCGAAGCTGCTCCAAGAATATGCAATCAACAATAGTGATACTGCGATACTCCTACCGACATATATACAGAATCTTTGATAGCCGTGGTGAGAACGCGATTTTCCATGCAGGACGACGTAATCCACTTCATCCGGGCTGAAAATTGGTAGCGGCCACCGTCCGCCGGCCCATTAACTGTCACTGGCCCTCACCCAGTAGTTTTGGACAGTTTGTCCGAAACATGCAAAATAAAACGTGCCAAATCAAAGCACACGCTGGAGTATAAGTGCTGAAAAGTTTCAAGCTGCCGGCTTCATGAACAGGTAAGAGTTTTCTTGTCCTAGAACATTATTCCCACTATATACTTCTTTTGTTACTGTAACAGCCATGTTTCTTGACTTCACCACCGCGCAAAGCCAAGGGCATCTGCGCCCAGCCTCGCTCCGGCGCCGCTCGCAGCGTTTGTCCAAAGGGCCACAGCCATGGACACATTTTGAGAGTCATGTGCCCTTATGTGCTGTGGAAGTCTTTGATGCCGAGAATTCAGACAGGCTGCAGCCAAGGTGACAGCAGCGCCTCCACAGGCGCCAAGCCACGCCCCAGAATTTGGAGGCTATACTTGAATCGATCATACCATTGCATTGCAGAGTGCGCAGTGGGCACACGAGAGAGGGGGAGAGCGACGCCTGGCAGGCCCTGGCGTAGTGCAGTCGCAGCTCTGGTTCAATCCAGGTGCAGGCCAATGAACGCTGCATTGAAAATGAGCGCGCGCACCGCGTGTGCCAATACCTTGCCTTATAGCACGCGGTGTTGGGCCATTTTGTGCTTATGAGTTGCAGCCTGCATTGGAGGTGGGGGCAGGACATACACGGACTGACTGCGGGTAGCTCCAAGAATTGATTCCAAAATTTAAAGATGAGGTTGGATATTGCTGAGGGTCCATTCTTCCAAGCAGTGCCGTAACCAAAGCAGCACAGGAAAATCCTAGCATTGGGCCACCAGGCCATGGCCCTGTACCATCGAAAGCCTGCCATGGGCCGCTTGCCAGAAGCAAGGAAGCGATTCCAAAACTTCGAATGTCCAGAGGGCCGACTGTGAAACAGAATTATGGCCGCCCAGGCCAGGAAGGCCCGGTGCCTTGGAGTCAATTAGTGCTGCTGTTGAAACTGCGGAAGGACTTGAGCATGTAGTCAAGGAATGTGCAACACGTGCATCGTATTTTTCACTGCTGTTGTACATACACATCGACCATACCGCATGCTACTTGGCTCAAGCAAAAAGGTGTACTTTGCAGGCTGTTACCTATTTGAAACAAGTTATCAGCCGTAGGTCTCACTGCTTTCCCTGCTCCGCGTCCCTTGTGCGCCGTACCATGGCAGGCATCGGATATCCCGCAATTATCGACCTTTCGTCGGAGCGGGACCATATGTCCACACGAGAGGAAACGCCTGAGTTTGCAAGTTCCACCGCACTCGTTCCGGACGGTTATGGGTTTATGGACACGCCTTTGGGGCCTGACATTCTCCAGTACGACCCTCCTACAGCGAGTGCCAGTGGGAACGCTGTGCCGGTCAACCTGAGCAATACAAATGTGTTGAGCCAGCACCTGCATGTTCACCAAGCCCCAACCACCGACGGTTGATTGAGGCGGTTGCCAAGGAACGACATCGGCATGCCATGGACATTCAGGGTGAACAACTCCAGTTGGTGAGTACTCAGCGTGACGAAATGAGAGTGCAGGGTATAAGATTCATGAATGAGGCTGAACAGATGTTTCATGAGAACGCGGTTGTGAAACAGGAAGCCAATGCTTTCGTTGAAGCGGCAACCAAAGGGTATGAGGCATTCGCCGAGGCTTCCGCATCCGAGCTTAGGTGCATGAAACAACATCACGAGAGTCGCACTGATAGCCGAGGAGGCTACGACGCAGTGGAGGTCAATGAGTCACCTGTTTTGGGGTTGGCAAACCTTCGCTCGGCCCTCCAGGCCTTTCAGTTGCGCGACCACTTGAGGCGCGCTGGCTGCGAGCTTCGCTGGGTCGCTTCCGACTACGACCTTGGCGATGCGCTGACGAAGGAGCGCTTGGATGGCCGCCTCGGCCTCCAAAGGTTCCTGCATTTAAAGCTGGAAGTGGGCGATTAATTTCGACCCAACCTTTGCTGCCGCAAAGAAGAACAAGAAGACCGGCAAGAGCGCCTTGGAGAAGATCGATGCACACTTTCATCAGGCAAAGCCTGAAGCTTTTCGTCTACCGGTGCAACACGTGCATCGATTGTAGCTTGTTTGAAGGCCGCCGTCACCGATGGCCGTTCATGCTCAGGGGCCCCTTTTTACTTCGCGACCTCAGCGATCCTGAAAAGTGCCATACGCGGCTGACGCCTTCACGTTCGACGTGGTTTGTTGGTTGTGAGCCCGCCTTTGCTAGCTACCACTGCGCTCCCGCTACAGAATGTTAATGGCGTCGCTGGGCTGAAATGATTGCTTGCTTGAGCATGTGAAGCGTGTGGGTGTGGGTTGTGGGCGTGGGTGTCTTCGTGGGTGTGTTTGCATTTCCGCTGCCTCTTTCTCGTCTCTTTCTTGCGCGCGTCTTTAAACTATGGTTAAGGAATTGTATACCAAGAGTTGTCATACGTCGTCACCGCGCTGCAACTCATCAATAGGTGCTCCTGTGTTTGAGCCTGTGGAAAGTTAAGGTGGGCTACAACTCCCAGCAGTCCAGTGGACCAGTGCGAGTGCTATGCCCCTTGGCAAGGGTTGATCCCAGAGGGTAAAAACATGCCACGCGTTATGTGTGTCATTTGATAGATGGCATTGCAGCATTGAGGCATGTTTGAGCGGATCTGCGAAGCGTAGACAGGAGACACAGGGCAACAGGGCACCCAAATTATTTCCAAATCTGCCGCCCATTGGCTTCATCATTGCTGCTAAGCTATGCTTGAGATGCATCCGATGTTGACTTGCATCATTCACATTTCCTGAAATCAACGTCGCCATACTAAACCCTCCAATGCCAAACTCTCCCCATTTGCAAAACGTATTTGGAGCCCTCATGAGGAGCCTCGCTACTCAATTCAGAGCCTACTAAACCACCCGGTTTCACCCCAGCAGTGTGGGCGGACGTGCTTGAACCTGAACATAATGCCCACGGATTTGGCACATGTTTCGACGGAGCCCAAGCACACGGAGCTCCATCCGAATAGATCTTCTGAGTTGGGGTAGCTTGAAGTAGGCTTGCCAACAAATAGATGTGTAGGAAGGCTCTTGAAAACGCTTTGCATTTTAAGGTTTAGCCAGATGCCGCGCATATCCCCCAAAGCATGGGCAATAACCAGAGGGAGGCCCGCTCAAAAAACAATCCTTGACATGAATCGGGTTTGAGCATGCCGCCCGACCCGCACCATACAGGTGTCCAAACATGTGGCGTGAAAGCGCATCTACTTTTTCGACGAGGATGGAGCTTGTGTGATTCTATGACCTATTGGTTAGAAGTGGCCAAGGACTTGGCGCTAGGCTAGGTGCTGTTCCTCCTCCTCCTCCCCCTGTCCTCGTGCTGTCCTCTGTGTAGCCACTCTTGCGAACTCTGTGTTTTCCTCTTCTCCTCTTGGCTGTTTTTGCACTCCTCTGGCACGCTCGCGAACCCTGTGTCCTCTTCTTCAACTTCTTCTTCCTGCTGTCCTTTAGCCTCGCTTGCGCAATTTGTGTCCTCCTCTTGTCCCCCTTCTGCCCTCTGGCGATGCTTGCCAACGCTGTGTCCTTCCTCCTCTTGTTGCCCGAGCAATTTCAGAAAGAAATGGCTGGCCATGATAGCTGTAGCGGCGCCGTGGGCTTTCTTTTCCGCCTTGTCTGGCGCTTGTCCATGCCTTGTCCTGCTGTGGGCCCTGCGTTGTCCTTGTCGAGGCTTTGTCCAGGTCTGCCTGGCGGCGGCCCACGTCTTGTCGGGATCCGTCTGTCTTGCTTCTCCGCGTTGTCGCTTGTCGGGGTTGTTTTCGTGTGGCTGTGAATATGCAACAGTGCTGCAGGTCGCCCTCGGATATTCTCATGCGCGTGTGACGACATGTGGCCTGGGAACCGGGAACTCTTGTTTTCAAACCCTGCCATTCCCAAATAGCTGGAAGCTATATAGGAATATGATGACAGATGTTGCGCCATTGGAATTCAAGGAGCTGACGCAGAAATCAATGCCTGAAACTGGAATTTTCAATTGCAACACATGTCAGTTACCAGGTAACAGGTACCAACCGGTTCAGATGTATTCTCTACTAACAGAGGTACATTGTCCCGGCGACGCCATAAATTCTCGCGGCTCGTTTCTATGTTTTCATCACACAGTTGTGAGCGCCAATCTCAGTTATGTTTTCACCTAAAATTACGAAAGCCAGCCTTCGCAGAAGGCGCCAGCTGAGTTGTGTTTGGCGAACGAAGTGAGTAAGTAGGGGGTCTTGGGGGGGTGGCCCGAAAAGCAATACGTAAACTTGAAATTATGTGGTGTTTAGGGGTGCGCGGAAGCAAGGTTTTGGAGGTTGTGTTGGTGGTGATTTTTTGTGATTTTTGAGCGGCTGGTGATGTAAGAAATGCAACTTTCTTCGTTTGCGTCATGCATCATTTAAATGGTAAGGTGTAGTTTTAATGAGGCCGATGTGTTGTAGCTTCGTGCAGCTGTGAATGCGTAACCTCTTACACACCTGTATAAGTTTTCAAAGCACTAATGAGATGTCAAATCCGCGGATTGCTGCACTTTTCTCAAGGTTATCTAGCGGTTGACGGAAAGGGAAATTGAAGCGCTAGACCTGGCAGCTGAATTGTAGCTACCCTGGGTCCGTATAAATGCTATTTTGCTATACCTCTTACACACCTATATAAGTTCAAAGCACGAATGAGACTTCAAAGCTGTGGATTTCTGCGCGTTTCTAAAGGTTATCGAGCGGTTGACGGAAAGGGAAATTGAAGTGCTATACCTGGCAACTGCCTTGTAGCTACCCTGGGTCCGCCGCGCCTAAATCTAGGGCAGGCCGGGAGCCAGCAAGGCGCGCGCGCGCGCACGGACCCTGGGTAGCGGACCCAGGGCAGCTACCGCTGCACTTTTCCTATCTCTCTTCAAGCAAAAGGCCCGGGGCTGGCAAAAGGATAGTCAACACAAAATATGGGGTTCCTGTCGAATGTCCAATGGTGTTCTATGTTCACGACCAAACATACCAAAACCACATGTCCGCTAAAACGTTTAGTGTAAAGACGGGTTTTTATATCTCACTTCACCGTTTGCTTTGTCCGGATGCGTCTGGACGTTTGCAGCGGTCGCCGCTGCCAGCCTTCGTAGAAGGCGCCAGCTGAGTTGTGTTTGGCGAACGAAGTGAGTAAGTTACGAAGGCCAGCCTTCGTAGAAGGCGCCAGCTGGGTTGTGTTTGGCGAACGAAATGAGTAAGTAGGAGGTGTGGGGGGGGGTGGCCCGAGAGAGGGCTACGTAAACACCAAATTAGGTGGTGTTTAGGGGTCGGTCTAAGGGTTTTGAGGGTGATTCTTTAAGTGATTTTTGAGGGGGTGGTGATGCAAGAAATGCAATTTGCATCATTTGCATCATCCGATGGTAACGCTGGCTTTCGTTTTGCAGCTCCTAAAATTTCGATCAAGTCACATACAGGTTGCATTTCCATGTGGGTCTGTAGGGGAACATGCCTGAGCCATTCCCATCATGTTAGTTGCCTTGATGGTTGTTTCACCAGCCTTCCGTACCCGTTCCCAAAGTGGATCAACAACCAAGAGGTGGCCAAAGACATCCCGCCATACGTTTCGAGTCTCTTCTGCCTTTCCTTTCCATCCTAGATTTGCCGTTGTCATGCACTTTCGGTGTTGACGCTTTTGGTT